CCATCCATCCATCCATCCATCCATCCACCCATCCATCCATCCATCCATCCATCCATCCACCCATCCATCCATCCATCCATCCATCCATCCACCCACCCATCCATCCATCCATCCATCCATCCACCCAGCCATCCATCCATCCATCCATCCATCCATCCACCCACCCATCCATCCATCCATCCATCCATCCACCCAGCCATCCATCCATCCATCCATCCATCCATCCACCCAGCCAGCCAGCCAGCCAGCCAGCCTTTATCTTCCACTTTATCCAAAGTTGGGTCGTGGTGGCAGCAGCTTGAGCAGTGATGCCCAGACCTCTCTTTCCCCAGCTACCTCTTCCAACTCTTCTGGGAAGACTCCAAGGTGTTCCCAGGCCAGCCGAGAGACATAGTCTCTCCAGCATGTCCTGGGTCTTCCTCTGGGTCTCCTCCCAGGTGGACATGTCTGAAGCACCTCCCCAGGGATGCATCCAGGAGGCATCCTTACCAGATGCCCGAACCACCTCAACTGGCTCCTCTTGATATGGAGGAGCGGTATCTCTACTCTGAGTCCCTCCCGGATAAATGAACTTCTTACCCCATCTCTGAGGGAGTGTTCAGCTACCCTTTGGAGAATAATTTCAACCCCTCGTATCCGTGATATTGTTCTTTCAGTCACAAACCAAAGCTCATGACCATACTGTAGGTGAGGGTAGGAACGCAGACTAATCGGTAAACAGAGGGCTTTGCCTTACAGCTCAGCTCCCTCTTCCCCGCAACAATCTGTCTATCAGTCTCACACTCCATTCTTCCCTCACTCGTGAACAAGACCCCAAGACCACCTTAGCAGACTACTTTTAATGCAGAGGAGCAGCAGCTCTCCAGCTGGTGGTCTGAGCTTACGTCAACCATGAGTTGAGTGACGGTAGAGTCCCCCCACTTTAGGTTAGTCAGGGGATTTGGTTGCCTTYGTGTGTGGGAGGTTTGAAAGTAGGTATAATTCTGGCCCTGGAGTCCAGAGTTCAGATCCGGTTTATCTCTGTGTACCAAACGTCAGAGGGGATGGGTAATGTTAGCTTTTTGTTTAGTTAAACTTTAGGTCTTTTACATTGTTTTTGTTCTCAGTCTGATCATTCATCTATTTTTGGAATGAAATGATCACTAGTAAACACACAAGGTTGTTCCTCATTCATCTCACTCTCACTTGTTTTGTCAGTTAAAACCATTGTTTCATTGCGCCAATGGCTCTAAAGACAAATCCTCTTAAACTCAGGATTTTTAATTTTTTTTCTCTGTCATTAACCTTCAAGGCCCTGTCACACTATGACATTTTAGACAAATTGTGCCAACTTATGAAAACCTTTTTTTGTTTGTTTGTGTGTTTGTTTCTCCTCCAGATCATGTCCAAGCCCGGCGATCAGGTATCCCCTGCAGGTTCCAGCGCTTCAGTGTCGAGTCGACAACATCAGAGTCACCCAGAGGAGACCGAAGAGGAGCTCAGGGAGCACCAAGGACTCTCCTCATCCTCATCGTCGTCTTCTTCTTCGTCAATGCCTGAGACGGGGTTAATACGGGGACTGGTCATCAAGCAGGAACCCCCTGACCACCAGGAGCAAGAAGAAAGGGACCAGAGGGAAAGACAGTCAGAGCAAGACTTCCTGTTTAAACAGGTAGGATGTGAAGGGAGAGGGGCTGATGGGAGAGAGTCGAGTCTTTCCAAATTTTTTCCAAGTTTTTTTTTTTTTTTTTTGCAAAAACTGCAAAACTTCAGACCCGTCAGCACCTAATGATAGCAACTAATCATGGCTCAAAAAGAGGTTATTATAGTTAGATATACACAAATTTTTTAAACATTTTTTGGGAGTCTCTTTGGTAAATAACGATATATCAGGCAGGGCTGTGTATTGGCAAGAATTTGGCGATACGATACATATCATGACAGGGATCGCGATACGATATATTTCAATATGTTGTAATCCTGTAAGCAAGGTGATATATTTTGATATATTGACATTTTTTGTCCAAAAAATTGTATTTAAAAATAAAACAGTATGTTTTATATGGATTTTTATTGTATCATATTTCTTATTTCATATATGTTTTCAATTATTAGACTAAATGTACCATTAAATAGTTTGATAGTATATTTGTGTCAGCTTTTAGATTTTAAAATTAATTTATTATAAAAACATGGCCACCCAACACACTAACAATAGCCTATATTTTGTCCTAAAGTTCAGTAAACGGATGACATGAAGCTGATGCACACAGTCTGTTGTCGGCTGTCATGGGGCACCTCCCCAGCAGTCATTTCAATGCACTGTGTTTCATATGGTTGTTGCATTTGGTCACTTCAGTACTGTACCTCGGGGACCCCCTGAGTTTGAGGCACTAGACAAATGCCCGCCTTTCATAACATGAAGGCTGACTACAGTTGGGAGAAAGAGCGTCCTGAACAGGACACTTAAATTTGGCTTAAAATTCGGAGAATCCAGCCAATAAGGGACTGTTGGTTAATTTACCTCAGTTTAGATGGCAGCAGTTGTCAATCTAATCCGCTCAGATTAAGCCATCGGCGCATGATGCTTATGTTTACTCACAATGCTGATGTCTTAGCTACCGTTATACTCTCTGGCTCCTCAGTACTGGGAGAGCCAAACGAATGGCTGACTGCTGCCAACTAGTGGTCGGAGTTCTAAACTACAACTCAAAAATGAACTGTTGGCATGAAAGTTTACATTTTAAACCTTAATTAAAAATCAATACAGAGCTTTAGAAAATCGATACAGTATTGGTAAATTGAATATCACGATATTTCATTGTATCAATTTTTTCTTATACCCCTAATATCAGGTCGGGGAGAAACCAAATATAGAAAAAGAGTACATATGATTGAGTCAGTTAAATCGGATCTCGCTACATTGCAAAAAATGTCCACCTAACCAAGTTCTAAAATCTTATATCCAGCCAAAACAATCTTTTTGATCTTGTTTTGAGACTGATTTACTAAACAAGAACTGATTGTGTAAGAATAATAATCTTGTTTTCAGAATGTGTGAGATTATTTGTCTTGCTAGCCTGAAAATTTGACTCAAATTAAGTCAAACATTTCTGCCAGTGGAGTAAGAAAATTTTACTTGGTAAGTTTCTTAAAATTCTTGATTTGACTCAATTTTTTTCTTATTTCAAGAATCTTACCAAGCAAAATTTTCTTACTCCGTTGGCAGAAATGTTTTACTTAAAATGAGACAATTTTTCAGGCTAACAAGACAAATAATCTTACACATTCTGAAAACAAGATTATTATTCTTACACAGTCAGTTCTTGTTTAGTAAATCAGTCTCAAAACAAGATCAAAAAGACTTTTTGGCTGATATAAGGTTTTAAAACTTGGTTAGGTGGACATTTTTTGCAGTGAACAAAGATTCCAAAAAATAAACATGTTTTTCATCCTGTCACAGACTTTTGAGGGTTTCTGAAAATCACGAGCTGTTTTTGTGATTACAAAACTGTATCCTGGACCATAAACATAATCTTGTTGCCTACCTTCACCCACATTGTAGCTGCCTCTGCAAGCTTTGCAGCCACCTTGGCAGCTGCCTCCATGTTTATGTTTTAATCTGTTGGAGTACACTTCAGAAATTTTGTAGGAATGTTTCTATCATCGGTGTGCTTTTTTTTTTTTAGACATGGACATTCAAAAGTTGCTAGATCATTATAATGATCATTTGCCAGCTTATCTTCCACAGTCACAGCACAGGAGCAGACTGACTTTAGAAAGCAGCTTGCATAACTTCAGCTTCATTTCAAAACAATCACGTGCGAAAAATGAAAAGATGGAACGATGACCTCTTCTTTCACATTTGCATGCGTTTCAGATTTGATTGTAACAGATGACTTCATCTTGTCCCACCGTGTGAGTTTGTGAAAACTTGGAAGTGTCAACGCGGCGGCTTGTTTTCCGATCGAAAAGCCCCCCACAGATTTAAAACACGACTCTTGTTACTGTAGCTGTGACAGATGGAGCTGAAACATTACACCCTTCTTTCCATCTGCCCGTCTTCTCAAATGACTTTTCATCTCTCTTACCAGCATAATTTTAGATGCATTATTTTTTTTATCTGCGTCCCAGAAAATGGAGAAAGAAAACAAACTGCACATGCTGCGCTAAGTCTTAAAACCAGCTTAAAGCATGCTCCCACTCCCAAAGTTGTCCCGAGCTGCACTATAAATACCGTGCACGCAAAAATACTCTGTTACATAACCCTCAGTTTTCAGTTCTACATTATGTCTTTGAGGCGCGCGACGTGCATTCTCCCTCCGTTTTACTCTACGCTCTCAGACAATCAGGACACCGTGTCCTTATCTGTCCGACCCAACCCTGCTGTCTGCTCAGCCAAATTCAATCAGGCACTCCTCTCACTGTCACCATGGCGCCCGTACACTAGTGCAGGCAGACACACCCATCAGAACAGTGCAGCACTTAGGCTCGGCGAGAGTGAAAAGGAGCTCTAAAAGGTTCAAAAKAGGTGCACAAAGTTATTTTTTAGGTGCTTTTMTCGAATTCTSTCTAATAGTTTCAGGAGTAATAGTAAACACTTGTTCGATAACTATTAGATTATGCTTGTTTCTTTTTGTAAATACACAGAATGTCAGTAAAATAAAAAGTGGTTCTGGATAAATGGTATTAATGGCTTTTTGCCTAAAGGTAGATGCAAAGCTAGCATCAAATATTGCTGCTCCAACTTGGTGTCWTTGTTGAATTATCATGAGATGTGCAGCATTTGGTGCCCTCTGCTGGTGTCGTTGTTGTACTGCAGTGTGATGCTGACAGAGTGTATTTGTGTGTGAGCGCAGCAGGCCTTGCTCTTAGAGCAGCAGCGGATCCACCAAYTGAGGAACTACCGAGCCTCCATGGAAGCAGCAGGGTTACCAGTCAGTGTGGCTGTGCACCGTCCTCTGACCCGGGCTCGGTCCTCTCCGGACACCGCCTCCTTCCCCATTATAGTCCAGGAGCCACCAGTAAAGCACCGATTTACTACAGGTCTGTAGGAAACGTGTTTCTCGCAGATATCGACAGGAAGAAGGTTTCTTCCTTACATGAACTAATGAGAGAAAGCCGTTTCTTGTGCTTTGCAGGTCTGGTGTACGACGCTTTGATGCAGAAACACCAGTGCGTCTGCGGCAACGCCACTATTCACCCAGAACACGCCGGCCGAATTCAGAGTATCTGGTCCAGACTGCAGGAAACAGGTCTCAGGTCACAGTGTGAGGTGAGAACGGATCAGAGACGGCTATCTTATGACTCCAAGAAATAATTATTTCTCAACTGCTCTTGCTTTGTAATTTAAACACATTTGTTTTTGAATTTTTGTTGCAGACTGGCTCGTAATAGTAAAMATTGGTGAGGAGAATGTGTAATTGAAAAGACAGGTTCTAAATTAGAGATAACAAAGGATGTTGAAAAATAATCAATTTTAGCACAAACAGATTTTGAGATCCTTCATTGAAGGTGACTTATCACCTTTATGGTCAAAGATTTTCYATTGCTACCAATGWGGGCGCAACTCCTGCWTTGGTACAGCACCTGGCATTCCCAGGAGGTCTCTTATCCAAGTACTAACCAGGTCCGACCCCGCTTAGATTCTGAGATCAGATGAGATCTGGTGTGTTCAGGGTGGGCATTTTCCCAATGCCCAATTAAATTATTAGACTTAAAAAAAAAAAGTAAACCAAAAAAATTGCAATTAATTTGTTTTAGGATTTTGATGTGATGTTAAAGTTGAAAAAAAAAAGATATGTTATTTATTAATATTATGATGCATATTGTATTTTGGAGAGAGAAAAATGTTGATTTTTTTTACCTGTTTTATTTATTTATTTATTTATTTATTTATTTATTTATTTATTTATTTATTGTCATCCATAAGTTCTGGGAGGATCAGTTGACTTTAAGTTGCTGTTTCAACTTTTCACCACAAGAGGGCACTGTTAATTCAAATATCAAGTCTGTTCATTATCTGAGTAAAGCATTTAGAAATGAGGAGTTTTAAACCTGTTTTATTATTAGTTTGCCTACCTGACACCTGTTGAACCAAACATTTTCTTCTTCTTCTTAATAACTAGAATCTTGATGTTMGCTGAGGGATATTATTTAGGCTACAATCCTCTCTCCCACCTAATCTGTAATCTTCATTTTCATCCTGTTCTCAGTGTATCCGAGGTCGGAAGGCGTCGCAGGAGGAGTTACAAACAGTCCACTCTGAGGCCCACGTCTTGTTGTATGGAACCAACCCACTGCGACAGAAACTGGACAGTAAGGCTTCATTTTCCTTTATGTATTCAAAAATTACACCTGTTCCAAACAAGTGCTCATCCTCCACCTAAAGTATCCAYGTTTTGCACTTTTATTCCTTTAAACTTTGTACATCTTATCACTGATAAACAGAAATATTGAGGTTAAAGTAAAACATGTTGTACAGATCGTTAAACAAGCTGTTTGTGCAACAATCAGGATTTGATCAAATTAGGAATGTTCGGCTCCTGTATGGTGAAAATGCGTTTAATTTTATGCAKTTAGGTGCATGAAATGGTTTTAGTTCCGCAGAACAGTGATTGGTGTTCGTTTTCTATTTAAAACAGCTCAAGCAGACTTGAAAACCTCACAGAACCATTGTGAGTATTTCTGCAGACGTAAAGGCTTGTTTTGGTGACGGAAATTGTATTTTTACAAAACATTTGAAAGGAGTTCGGCTAAATAAGCCGACTAATCTTTGCTTACTGATCTCAGGGTCGGAACAGAACCCTTTTTCCCGCCGTCTTCCCGAGGCTCCCCTTGATTGTGAGGTCAACGGGATCCTATTTTTTTCCCACCTCCCCAAATTAAAGCGTCTCCCCCGTGTGCTCTCGTAGTTAGATAAGGTCAGAAAGTCAAACGCTGGGTTTTAGGGGTCGTTTGGACCCTTGGGTGCACAGAGTTACCTCTTCACCTTTTCTTTTTTTTTCCCTCCTGACTTATATTGTGATTTGTCATCTCCTTTTCCTCAGGTTCTGTAAATCCCATGTTTGTGAGGTTACCCTGCGGAGGCATCGGGGTAAGTGACTCATGTTGACTTTGGTTTTGATTCATTTGACAAATATTCTCAGTCTAATTAAAGTGTTAGKAACTAGCATGTGTGTAATGTTTCTTCCAGGCTGCCATTTGTAGTCACACGGTTTAATATTTCAGTGGAAAATCTTTTTTTGTTCAACAACGTTGTTCTGATTGTATCAATATTCATCCAGTTGTGCTCCGCCTCACTCAGGACTGAAGCAAACAGTTTCAGNGACTGTATGTTTGCGTGATCGGACGTTTATTTTTTTGCCATGCCAGTGATTTTGATCGCTGACATAAAGTATTAATTGTTGCAAAGTACGAAATCAAACATAAAAATGTTATTCGGAGCTGTTTGATGCAGTTTGAAAGAGACCGTGCAGTTCTGAAACGTGGGTACGCGCTCAGTGTAAACAAAGTGTTGGACTGAATCCGCGGGAAACCACGAGGAAAAGCTTGAGTCACATGATGGAGCTGCGTTAGTCCGGATGTAGTCTGGGCAGGTAAATAAACCCGGTGGAATCTGACAAACAAGTCTGGTAAACAAGGGCTAGTTATCAGTTAATCACAAGTTTAATTTCATTTATTTTATATTTAAGGACATTTTAACCATTGCTATGAGAAAAATATTGTGCATGTTTAGTTTCTGACTGATTTCTTTTTATTATTTTTTCAGTCCAGTCTTCATGACTTTGCATTTAGTACCTTTAAAACAGGAAGTGATGTTTTTCTTTCATCTGTATATTTACTGGTTCATGTTGACTTTACAGATTTGTAAAAACCCATCAGGCCTCCTTCAGGTTATCTCTCAATCCCTTTCACTTTCTTTCTCCCCACTTTGTGGAGAAAAATGTCGGTGAGTATGGAGGATCGAAACTGTCATAATTAGAAATAAAAGCAGAAATATATAAATGGACCAATAAATAAAAAAAATTCACCAGTTTAGCTTAAAGTTTAGTTTAAAACAAAGGCAAGGAGGAAAACACAAACCTGTGTCTTTGTTTTTGTCTAAACCTTGAACTTAAAGCTAAACTGATCAGCACAAGCATGCACAGTAGATCTGCACTTGGCTCCTGCTCCTTCCTCTCTGTTGACCAATAGGAGAGGAGCTGGCCCAAGAAGGTCCGCCCACCATATTTGCATAATGAGGCAGGAATGCATAAGGTAAAGTGAAAACAGTAGACAGAGAAATGTTAAATGGAAATAAAACATTTAAGAGACACAAAAAGGAGAAATAAAAATATATATTTTAAAACAGTAAAATGTAAATTATGTGCTAAAATAAGTAATTTATTGCAACTAAGCTGGGGAAATGAATATGAAGGTCAATTAAATTATAAAACATGAGGTAAAATTCTCATTTTTAAATTTAATTGATTAGTTTTAAGTGTATTTATTTATTTGTTGGTCCGTTTATATATTTATGCTTTTATTTTTAARTATGTCCGTTTTGGGCCTCCATAGATGAGGAGGGGTGTAAGCTGCCTGAGCTCTGTGCTGGTCTGTTTTTTATAATGGCAAATGGGACCAAATTGTTGTCTTCCTGTCAAACGCTCACATACAAGTCATACACATAAGGGGGGGTTGAAATTAGGCTGTCGGACTGTGGAGAGCCGTCGTTTTGTCACAGCAGCACGTTCCCCCTTTTTTCTAGCTTTTACTTACTGATTAACTTTTTTGTCTGGTTGAAAGCATCAACACAGGAAACAATAATCCTCTTTCTGCTTCAGAACATCACCTGTTTGCTCCTGTTAATCTGATTTTTGTAAAACAATTCAGTTTCACATTTACTCTTTTTTTTCTTAACTCAGATTTTCCATCTTCACTTTTGGTCCCATTAGACCCTCATCAGCAGCTACGCTTCCTCCCTCCGTCCTTTATTTAGTTTTGTTCAATCTCTGGTAAATGCCCCGCAGTTTTATTTGATGACAGTCCTTTTTGGCGCAGCTAAAAAGAGGCCTTTTTTTTCTCCTCTGTGGATGTTATTATGGAGTAATCATCCAGCCTTGATGAGTTCCTTCTCCAGAGACAGGAGGAACGTGGGGCTGGCTGGCTGGATGAAGCGTGGCTCACTGATTGGTCGCTGAATAAAATAAAAACATGGATGTTCAGCTGAGAATATTTGGCCGTCCCAGACAGCAGAAAGGGACGGACAGGTTAAAGTGAACATATTGAAAAGCTGAAGGTTTACATCAGGAGATGTTGCCGGAGTTCTGGTTCGGGCMACTCTGCACATGTGTTCCCAGACCTTTAGCTTTTCTTCTCTTCCTCTGCCAGCGTCTTCGCTGTGTGTTTATCATGCGCTCCATCTGCCGGCAGTATCTGCCATGCTTGATGGAGGGTGTGTATATTATCCCGTGTCCAATCAATCACGTAACATATTCTGGACTTTTTTTTTTTTTGGCTTTGGTGCGTTTGTGTGTGTGTAGTGTAGTGTTGTGATGGAGGCTGAGGGCCAGCCGTGCCTCAGCATTAATCAGGTTTGACCACTAAATGAATGGTTGACCTGTGGTTCAGTGTTCTCAAACACAAACACACATGTACTGTACGTGCAATCATCCTGGGAAAAAAAACATTTGATGCAAGGTTTCAAAAAGTAAATAAAAGTTGTTTTAAAKGTGTATTCARGTATAARAATAATATTTTAGTCTCATTCTAGWTYAACCTAAAAACTTAATTGCTCACCTTGAAAGGTGAAAGATGGACAATATTTTTTTACAACTGATTAATATCTTGAATCAGGTTGAAACTAACCCGATTCAAGATGGCCACTACCGCTAAATAACTTTAAGAAACACAATAATAGCTGCAGTTTAATTCATTTTACAGATTTTGTAATTATATGTTGGTTTGGTAGTAGCTGAGCATCATCCTTAACATGTTCTCTGTGCCTTTGCATCATTTCGGACGTCTTTTCCTGACCGGGCTGAAGACGTGGCAGGCCATAAATGATCATAATTCCTCCCTCTCCCCTCCCACAGATCATATAAAGTATATAAACGACAATAAAGATGGCTGGATATTGTGTTATTTTTTTACTCGGCGRTCAATGTTGTGTTGGGTGAACAGTCTGCGGAGGAAAAACGTTTTTTTTTTTGTTAACGGTGGTGATGGGAGAAAGATGTAGACATCACAATGTTCAATAGAATAAAACCAGCTGCTGTTCTAGCTCTTTAAACAACAGGCGACRAACAAATCATTAAAAAAAAATAACCTGAAGAAGGAAGATCGGCTCTGGTCCTGCTCCTCATGAACAAACACACCCATGAAGTTCTGACCAATCACACACTCCGAGCCGCAAGGTCCGTGTCGCAGAGTTCTGACAGGGGGCAATGCACACAATGGCTGTCACTGGGGGCTAGCAGAGGAACAGCAGACAGAAGTTACGCAATTCTTTGTCATTCAGCCGGGAGAATATGCGACTTGAAGTGTAGACCAGCTTAAGTCAATTTATTGTCAAATCGGCATAATGTACAGGACTCTGGTGCAAAAAAGCATACAAAATAAACAGTTAACATAAAGCATAAAAGTAAAAATATGTAAAATAAATTTAACAGGATAAAGTGTGTATTAGGGTTCCTGGTATTAGCAGGAACCCTAATGTACAGCTGGTAAAATAAGTATTGAAAACGTCAACATTTTTCTCAGTAAATATATTACTAGAGGTGATAATGACATGAAATTTTCACCAGATGTTGGTAACAACCCAAGTGATCCATACATA